TGATTGTAATAAGGGCGCAAGCAGTAGTGAAATATGAAATATTTGCCAGGTACTGGAGAGGAAGGGTGGTCAGGCAGACCCTCGACCAAATTCTCATATTTGCTGTTTTGCTGTCTGAGTAGCGGAAGAGCATCTCTGGGTGGGCGCCCCTTCTGCTCTTGCAGTCTTGAGCAATTATAATCATAGGCTCTCTGTTGACACATGTCCCTGTGTCTATGGTAAGGTGTGTAGCACTTCCTCCGGAAGGGTGGAGTGTATATCCCTAATGTGCACAAAGTACTGTGTGAACCTTTGCTAGAGTGCAAGGCCTCGTCGGTACCTCTAGCAAATAATTTGGTCTTATCAAATGGCAGGTCCTCTGCTTTAGCTGTGTCATGGTTATGAGGGATGGCCAGCAGCCTGAGGACTAAGGGGTTAACTGTACCAAGCCACATAGCAGTCAGCCAATAGAAATGCAGGTAGGGATTTCAAACTGAGACAAAGGAATTTTTTATTTTTCCCTCCTTTGTCCCTGGGCAGTTGACTCTCCAGATACTGCGGAGGACAGACAACATGTCTCTCGCCATGAAAAGCCTCTTCACCATCTGTAAGTAGGTCAAAGTCTAGATAAAGTCATTAGGTTTTATTGTTTTATGGTTTGGGAATGGGAATCTGATGTCTGTGCATTTAGAAATGGGTTTTTCCTCTCTTTTGTAACTAAGTTTTGTTCCCATGGGAAAATTCTCCATGAGTTTATTAATTGGTGGCTCTTACCATCTAGCCAATCCAACTATGCTTGTAACAGTATTATTATAATAAAAGTTATTTCTTTTTTTATTAACTTGGTATTGGTTCAGTTCTGTGTCCTGGAAAATCTGTCTGTGGGCTCTGCATGCCTCTTACTAGGGGATAGCACCCTGTAGCAGTGTGAATAGGAAGGGGACCTTGGGGACCTGGATCTGCGATGAGAGCAGCAGGGAGATGGCGATTGATATCATCTGTGATAGAGGTGTCGTGATGGGGAAACGCTGTATCTGGATCGATGGTAGCGAGGTGGAGTCGGTGACTCCGGGGAAAAAGCTGTCGGTCCTGGGCTTATTGGTGGATGACCACTCATGGCTGCATCAAAGGTGTCAGTGGAGATCTTGTGGGAGTATGATGGTGTAAGAGAGCATCTGAGCGGTATTGTGAGCTGTATACGACGGTACCGCTGGATGAGGCATTGGTGCCGATGACAGGATTCGTGCCAGTGCCGTCGGTCCCTGGATTGAAGCTTCAGTGGGGTCCGTTAGCTCCCTCGGTGCCAGCATCGGTGCCGAGGGGCTGGGCACTGGGCGCACCATTGTTGTTTCTCTCGGTGCACTGTGCGCCCAGGGTAGGGCCAGCCCAGATCATTCAGCGGGCGCACATAAATGTCCCGGCGGGCGCCATGGCGCCCGTAGGCACTGCATTGGGGACCACTGTCTCAAAGACATAGCGGCATTTATAGTCTTTGTCCTGTGTCTGAGTCTTGTGCTGCAGGTTTTTGGCCCTTTGGTTCGCAGCATCAACCACCAAGGAGTTAGGCTGAGGGTGTAAGTACAGGCATTCCATACTCTCTGATGGGACAAAATACTTTCTATCGGCCCTTTTGTTGTTGGGGGGAGGGGAGCATGGCTGAGGTTTGCCATACTTTGTCGGCTGCCTCAAGAATAGCTTTGTCTAGAGGCAGTGCAATTTTGGATTTTGCAGAGGGCTACAAGTTCTTTAAGAGCTTGTGGTGTTTTTCCTGCACCTCTCATAAGACTACCTCCTGATAGCTACTCTCTTAAATAGCTCCTGGAACGGTTTATGGTCATAACTAGGTGCTGGATCATTCAGGATAACCGCTTCTTTGGGCACGGAGGAGGAGTTATCATTGGT